ACTCATAGCAACCCTATACAGGGTTTCCGAGGCTGTAAATCTTTATGGGAGCAGAACGCCTCATCTTTCTCCCGCGGAACAGCTGGTAGTTTCAAACTGCTGATCCTGGGGTTCACAGCCCGATTCGTAACCACTACGCTACCAGAGCTCCTTCAACTCAGATATAGAAGTACCCAAAGTAAAACAACAGTCATTACACCAAAAAGAAATGATTGATGCTCAACCATTTCAAGAGGTAGTATATGATAAAGAGTCACTGATACTGGAAGAAGAAGTCTAAGGTGCAATTGAAGACACTGGCAAAGAATAAAGCACTGGAAATTGATGGAATACAAATTGAAATCTTTCAACAAATTGATGAAGCATGGTAGGTACTCACTCATTTATGCCAAGAAATTTGGAAGACAGTCACCTGGCCAACTGACTGGAAGAGATCCTTGTTTTGCCCATTCCAAAAAGAGGTGACCCAATAGAATTCGAAAATCATAGGACAATAACATTAATATCTTATGCAAGTAAAAATTTGCTAAAGTTAATTCAAAAACAACTGCAAAAGTACATTGGCAGGGAGGGGGGCAATATACAAGAAGGGATAGGAGAATGGAAGAACAAAGTAGATGGGAGAACAATTAGGCAGGTTTGAATGGGCTAAGTGGGACAGAGGTAAAGAATGATGTATACACAACCTTGTAACTACAGGGCTCTGGGATACAGAGATTGAGACGTTGTTGGAATGGGAAACGGGGGGAATAATGTTAAGATGCTTGGCTGTCTTTTGAATCTTGGTTTTCCTTGCATTATATTATAAAATAGAAACAGGAGGGGGAGAGAAAGGAATAGCCAGAAACATCACCATAGAAAGCCTGTAAGTCCATCTTCTGCCTATAACTGATTGGAATACCTAAAATGAGGCTACAAGGTGCTCTGTGAAGGAGGCTTCCTGCAGAACCTCTGCATAACATAAGACCATAGGTGGAATCCTGAACAGCATCCAGAATCTTCTGAGGAGGGAAATTTCCATTTGAAAGGACAAGCAGATCAGCCTGGAGTGGCTAGAAGAACGGAAGATACTTCTTGAAAGAAAGACCAACAGGAAAAATACAAAACAATATAGGTAGTCTGATTGATTACTATAAGAACAAGCAAGTTGCTCACCCAGGAGACAGCAAGGCAAGTGGTCAGGTCCCCTCAGAGCAAACCCCCTTCTAAGACTAAGACTCAATGGGAATACACGCTCTAATTGGTCACCACATTCGTCACAGATAAGGGGAAGTGAGGGGAAAACAGGAATGAAGCTGCGAGCTAAGCCCTACAACTTTCAATAGACTCCTGTGAACCCGGGTGAAGACCTGGTTGGCCAGCAGTGTGGCAAGACCTGGGGACTCTTGGGCCCAGAGTCAGTGACATAACCACAAAAGACTAGAGTAGAGAGTGAAGTGTCCAGCTGATGAGAAGAGAGGGCATATGCACAAGAACACCCACACTTGCAGATAATACCCACTCGATCTGGCTTCAATGACTGGATGATCAGAGCTCAACCAGAAGAAGAAAGAAGAGGGGAAAAAAGAGCAATCTGATACAATTTGACAAACTTGACCTGCACCTATGGAAGCAGTAGCTCAAAAGAGGGAACAAATCTTTACAGCAAGGATCATTCCCAGCCCCTCCAATACACGAGCAGACAGGGATGGGCATCTTGGACATTGGCTACCCAAAATGGGGGCTTCAAAGGCAAGAAGTGATTGGCTTAAAAGCTTTCAAGAGGAAATCTAGATCCAGAGCGAGTGGAGGAAGGTAGAATCTCCACTGAGTAGTATCCAATCTGTCTGGGTGGGGCTGATGAAATGAAATGTGGATAGGTCTCTTGTGATATAGCAGTGAAGAATTATTATCATAACTGATTGTGAGGGTTGGAAATGTAAAGGTAGACATTTTGTAGCAAGGAGGGGAGTGATTAACTTTGCAGTCTAGGAGTGGAGGTCCCTGGATCCATCACGGGAGAATAGCGGAGAGCAGGACCCTACCCAGAGAAGCAGTGATGCCTGAGATGGAGGCAGAGACAATGATGTGGAGAGATGGAGCAGCTGGGGACTTTAGACACAGAGAGGGAGAGGGGCTGTGTGCTGATGACTGGGGGGTGGGGGGCAGGCTTGCATGGCATACCCTTTGGTTGGTTGATGATGCATGTAGGGGATTGTAACCATGGCAATGAAACGATATACGATAGGATGAATGTAAAACTAGTGTTCTCCCATGTAAACTATCACATAATTCACAGTAAAACATTAAAAAATAAAAATTTTTTTAAAGAACTTTGGCAGAGAACTGCCAGAGGTTCAAGCCAGACTCATACAAGGATGTGGAACAAGGGAAACCATTGCTGATGTCAGATGGATCTTGACTGAAAACAGAAAATAACAGAAAGAGGCCAAGAGACATACGTGGCAGGGAACTGAAACCCATAGCTTGAACCTCTGACAATTCCCTATCAATGGGCCTCTGCAACCGTTTTTAAAATTATCTTTAGTATAATATTACTTGCATACTATATTAATGATGTTGTTCAATAACCTGTCGAGTTGAATCCAATGCTTAGCAATCCTGAACAGGGTTTCCGAGGAACAACTAATAGATTTGAACTACTGACCTTTGGATTCACAATCCAGTGCTTATCCTACAGTGCCATACCAGGAGTCCTTGAGTATACCTAGAATATGTTGTTAAGTGCCGTCGAGTTGGTTCCGACCCATAGCGACCCTGTACAGGGTTTCAGAGGCTGTAAATCCTTACGGGAGCAGAACGCCTCATCTTTCTCCTGCGGAATGGCTGGTAATTTCAAACTGCTGACCTTGCGGTTCGCAGTCCAATTCGTAACCACTATGCTACCAGAGCTCCTTGACTTACATATACTCAAGGTATATAAGGAGCTCCAAGAAATCAAATAATGTATTACATTAAACAAGTCAGCTTTACAAGATCTCTTTAAAGTGTTGAAGAGCAAAGATGTCAGTTTGAGAATTAGTGTGCGCCTGACCCTCGCCATCGTATTTCCAGTAACTTCATATGCAGGTGAAACTTGGACAGTGAGTAAGGAAGACCATAGAAGAATTGATGCATTTGGGTTACGGTGTTGGAGGAGAATATTGAAAGTACCATGGATTGCTATAAGAAAAAACAAACCTTTATTGTAAGAAGTACAGCCAGAATGCTTCTTAGAAGCCTGGATGGCCAGACTTCATCTCTCATACTTCGGACCTAGTAACAGGAGGGACCAGTCCCTGGAGAAGAACATGATTCTTGGTAAAGTGGAGTGGCAGGGGAAAAGCGAACGACCACCAAAGAGATGGATTGAAATGGCGACAGCAGTAATGGGTTCAAGCGTAACAAGAATTGTTAGGATGTTGCAGGGCTTGGCAGTGTTTGTTCTGTTGTGCATACAGTTGCTATGAATTGAAACCATCTAACAGCAACGACAAAGTAGACAAGTGGTTAGCAGGGGCTGGAGGAAGGGAAAAAAGGAAGTTATTGCATAATAGACAATGTTTTTGTTTGGGTTGATGAAAATGTTTTGGTAATAGTGGTGAGGGTTGCACAACATTGTAAATGTAATTAATGTCACTGTGTACCCTTAAAAATGGTTAGAGCGAAAATTCTTGTTGTATAATTCGTATTTTATCACAATAAAATGTAATGTAAAAACCAAGAAAGGGCCGAATTGCCTTCAATCGGCTGACTACCAATAACGCTGGCGAAGCTGCCAAAAGGTAGGAAAGTTAAAACCCAATGCGCACGCGCACTTCCTCCAGAAGACAGTCCTTTTAATTCAGAACCGTACGTCTAAGTCTACGTTGAAAGACGTAGGAAGGCGGCTAGGGAAACGCAGATCTACTGTCACGTGACCCACGGAGTTCCGTTGACTCCTCCTTTTTCAAGATGGCGTCCTTGCTGCAATCCGAGAGGGTTCTCTACCTAGTCCAGGGAGAAAAGAAGGTTCGGGCTCCGCTCTCACAGCTTTACTTCTGTCGCTATTGTAGCGAGTTGCGGTCGCTGGAATGTGTGTCTCACGAGGTAACGGAGTCGTCCCGAGATGGGTGTGTGCTTGTTGAGGGTGGGGGCGGGGGTGTTCATCCTAGTCACCGCTACTGGCGGGGAAGTTTCCCTGATTGGAGGCCGGCTGTCATTTTCCCGGCTTGTTGATTGGTTATGTTTTCTGTCCCTCAGATTTGTCGGCGATTTAATTTGCTTGTTATTTGTCACTTGTAGAGGAGAGCGGCCTTGGGTGGGGCTGAGCGGATCTTTTGGTTCTAGGGCGCCAGCTGATTGGACAAATTTAACTGGGAAGGGAAGGAACCCCGGCTTTCTTTCGGGTGGTTTAGGAAGAAAGAAGTGTAGGGTACATAGTTCAGACAACGTGAGGAACGAGACACCTTTGCCAGGGTGGATTTGAGGGACGAAGGGACGCAGTATTCTCTTTAATGCCCCACCCCTCCTGGAAGTGCTGCCCCTATTTTGACCAGAAACCGAGCCCTCTCAGACTGCCTTGCCTTCCTCCCTGGCGCAGGTCCAGGCCTGCAGTAGGGAATAGGTTGGGGTGGGATGAGCTGAGTTGAAGATGGGATTGCTCAAAACGTAGAAAGTCTACACCCCTCCCCCCAAAATCAGCAACCAAAAATTTGTGCAGCACTTGGCATGTCATGTTCATTCGGTGATCTTTGGGAAGTAAAAGGTGAATCTGACATGTACCGTTGTTGAATAACTCAACATCTAATGAAGGAAAAGCTGACAGTAATATGAGTTACCTTTTAGTTAGTACTTTTTATATGCCAAGTGCTTTAAGTAATCTCCTTCATTCCTTCCTACAAACTAATGAAATGGATACTTGTAGAAAACCATTTGACAGGTAAAGGCACAGACCCTAGGTCACAGAGGGGGCAGTGTGGGGATGGGAGGAAGCATCAGAAATTGACCTCAACAGCCTGACTCGGAGCACTGTACTGAAGACCCCTAGACTGTTAAAAATGTGTATAAAAACATGTTCTTTACTGCAAGCCATTTTGCATAGTGTTATTAATAATTTTTATTTTATTGGGAATATTTTTCATAATATTATGAATAGTCTGGGAAAGCAGTGAAATAATACAGGAGAAAAAAAAATCAAACCACAATATGATAATGTTGTATACTGTTGTTGTTAAAGTACTGTCGAATTGGTTCTGATTCATAGTGACCCTGTATAGGGTTTCTCAGGAGTGACTGGTGAGTTTGAAATGCTGACCTTGTGGTTAGCAGCCCAGTGCTTGTCCTACAGCACCACACCAGGACTCCATGTACCATATATCTATTTATTATACATAGAAGGGTGCTTCAAAATTTCATGGAAAATTTGCATTCTTTTTAGTTCCTTTTTTCCACTAACTTTTTGAAGTCCCCTCTTATGTGCTGTTGTTAAGTGGCTTGTGTCAATTCTGACTCATAGTGACCTTGTATAGGGTTTCAGAGGAGCAGATGGTGAGTTTGAACTGCCAGTCTTGCAATTCAGACCAAATTTGCGGTCCACTGCTTAGCCTACAGCACCACACTAGGACTCCATGAATAACATGCACATGTACATTCATTCTGTACACACACACACACACACACACACACAAAGTGCTAATAGAACAGATAACACAAGAAAAATCAATGCCATACTGCATGTGTTATGTAGGGTGTGTGTATCTTCTTGGCAGTCCCTCTCTATAGTACTTTCTTTTTCAGCTCCACCACCAGAATTTATTGGATCAGATTCTGTAAGGCATTAGGGTTTCATATCTCTTCAGCTGGGTCATTCAATGTGTGAGTGCATCTTTCATAGACTGACGCAGAGACCATCAGAGTTTGGGAAAGGATGAGGCTAATGAGGGCAGCCCAGAAAAATCTTAATAGAGAAGCTGGGACTGAAAGTGCATCTGAAGGGATTGAGCACAATTTGGAAATGGACAAGAAGGAATCAATTATATTTTGCCTTTTGTGATAGTCTTTGTAAATATTATTTGGCAATACTGTATTTTATGTTCCTTTTCAAAGATTATTGCAGATGATAAGAGTTTCATTATAATTAGGTTGTGTGGCACCATAGGATAAGCACTCAACCAAGAGGTTGGTTTAAACTGCAAGGTCAGTGGTTCAAAGTCACCAGCTGCTCATCGGAAACCTCATACAGGGTCATCACTATGAGTCGGAACCGACAACTAATGTCCATATTAACATTAACAACCACAACTAATGTTCGTATTAAACTACCCATTTGCAGATGACTAGAATTCTCATACTGTCCAAATCAGCTATCTACTTTAAAGAAAATAATTGTTCAGCCTTTAAAAGCACAAAGATTTTAATATTTAGACTACTTTCTTGAGTTAAATACAAGGATAAGTCAAAAGGTTGTTATGTGCCATGGAGTCGGTTCCGACTCATAGCGACCCCGTACAGGGTTTCCGAGGCTGTAAATCTTTACGGGAGCAGAACGCCTCATCTTTCTCCCGCAGAACAGCTGGTAGTTTCAAACTGCTGACCTTGTGGCTCGCAGCCCGATTTGTAACCACTACGCTACCAGACCTCCTTTCATAGAAACCTTTAGCAAACAATATCAAAATGTGAAGCTATTTTTTTTACAACATATCCTCTATCTTCTGAAGGCAGTCTTTCCATGTCTGTCTCTTCTCTGGCTGTGGGATAAAGCACTGGACTGCAAAGTCAGTTTGAACCACAAGGTCAGGAGTTCAAACTCTCCAGCTGCTCCTTGGGAATCCTATACAGGGTCGCTATGAGTCAGAACCAACTCGACAGCACTTAACATCTCTTAAAAAAAAAAATTCTGCACCCTTGGGTTTACACCCAGTCAAAACAGTAGTTTGGGTATCCTCTAGGGACTCAAGTCATGTTCCTTTGACCTGTTCTTTGAGTTTGGGGAACAAAAAGAAGCCTGAAGGGACAAGGCTAGGGCTGTAGGGTGAATGGGATGAGGTTTCCCAATGAAATTCTCTTAGGGCAGCCCTTGCAAACCTCAAAGAATTAACAGGTGTATTGTCGTTTTAGGGGGGGAAATGCCTGGGTACAATTTTCTTGGCCTTATCCTCACCAATATAGTTCTCAATTTTCTTAAAACTTCATCATAATAGGCTCCTGTGATCTTTCTGTGTCCTTTGAGATTTCAAAAACTAGTCTCCATAACCTCTCAGCTGACCCCTCTACCTTGAAATGAGTTGACCTATCAGAGCCCCTCTGAAACCACTGTTTTGATTAGACTGTGTGTGTGTTGTTGTTTTTTTAATTAGACCATGTTTTTTGTTTTTGTTTTGGTATGTGTGAGGGGTATTCTAATAAGACTAAGATAAATGTATTACTGAAATAACTTGTCTGAAGCCAAACTGATCAGAGAGACATGTTTAAACACATTATTTTTGGACTAAATCTGTACACGTATAAACAGGATCCCTAATAGCAACACTTTTTTACTTATTGTTGTTACGTGCCATCAAGTCAGATCTGACTAATAGCAACCCTTTATAGAATTTTTGAGGAGTGGTTGGTGGGTTAGCAGTAGCACTCTTGTGCTTATCCTACAGCGCCACATCAGGACTTTGACTTACCTTTTTATGTTCAGACTATCTTGATAACTTTAGTTGCTTTAGTGTTTCATTTAAAAATCTCTGAATTACTTGGCTACTGCTGATTTTATAAATGCTACTTGGAGTTTCAACCCTGAACTTGTGGCTCTTGTGCAATTAGAAAACTTTTTTTTAATGTCCTTTAACTAAGTATGATCAAGTTATTTCTTCAAATGAAGCAAAATTCGGGTTATGTACTTATCCATTCATTAGATAACTATAATTTTTCAGTTGGAATTTTAAAATATTACATAAGTTACTTTCAATACATTTAACACATTGAACTCTGATACGCAGAAAATATTGATGGTCAGGAAAGATAAGAACAGAAAAATAGAAAATCCAGAGATTAAAAAAAGCAGGTGGTTACAGAGTAAGCCCCCAACCCTAAAACAACCAGGTTATTTGCTGCACTAGTGGGTTCTCACTGCTGCTGCAGTATAGTACAAACCTACCATCTGTCACGTAGGGTACACATACACATAGGCTAAATTGAGTTGTTGTCCTCTGATGTTTGTGATTTCTTCTTTTCTTCTAGGTGGATTCTCATTATTGTCCCAGTTGCTTAGAAAATATGCCCTCGGCTGAAGCCAAACTGAAAAAGAATAGGTAAGACTAGCATCTACTCTTCTACTCTTTGTCTTTTTCTGCTTTTATATAGCTCATCAGAAAACACATGGAATTAACTCTTTAACCAGCTGGTCTTCATTCTTTAGCATCACCTTTGCCATGCAGTCAGTGTCCTTTGGTTGTGTTAAAATAATTTTTTAGAACAGTTTTTGATACAGAATTACTGCAAGGATAGTACAGCATTCCTGTTTACCCCATACCTGTGCTCCCCTCTTGTTAACATGTTATATTTGTCCTAATTAATGAACCAATATTGTTACGTTTTTACTACCTTCACTCTACCTTTTATAACTAGATTTCCTCAGTTTTTCCTTAATGTCCTTTTTTCTATTCCAGGATTCTGTTCAGGATACCTTCACACTTAGTAGGCATGTTTTGTTAAGTGCTTCTTGGCTGTGGTAGTTTTTCCGACTTTGCTTGTTTTTGATGGCCATGCCAATTTTCAGGAGCACTAGTCAGGTGTTTTGTAGATTTGGGATTTGTTTGAAGGGATTTTGTCAGATGTTTTTCTCATGCTGAGACTGGAGGAATGGAAGACTACAGAGGTGAAGTGCCATTCTCATCAAATTATGGCAAAGATTTGTTGTTGTTGTTTTTGTTAAGTGCCATTGAGTTGTTTATGACTCTTGGCGACCCATAGACTCTTGTCTAGGGTGGCCACACCAGGTATACCCACTGTCAGTATGACATCACTGTTGGTGTTACTTTGATTGCCTGGCTTCAGCTAGGTTCCTTAACTTACTTCCTCTCCCTTCCCGAACTCCGAACTGGTCTCTTTGGAAGGTAGTCACTATGCAGCCCACATCAGAGTGCGAATTATGCTCCTCCTCCTTGAGGGCTGACTGCCTACAGAAATGATTTGAATGTATTTTGCATGTAAAATTTGTCTGTGTTCCCCATTCATTTATTTATTTTATCATTTACTTTTATCAGTATGGAGTCATAAGTATTTGTTTTTAGGTTATAATCCAACACTTTATTTGGTGGTTCAGATTATTCAGCTTTGGCCATTAGGAAGGAGCTCTTTTACTTAATTAAGTCCTGTTTCCCTCTGTCATACTCAATCAATGTAAATGTGGAAGCTTGTTTTGCTTTGCTTTGTTTCATTTTGGTTCTTTGAGCAGTTCCTTACTTTCTCACACTGCATTGTGCTCCTGGTCTGTTTTGTATATTTGCTGTTTGTCAATCCTGGAATTAGGAATTTCTCCAGGGTTTCCTTCTTCCTTTTACTGGAGGACTGTATTAGAAAGCAAGATCTAGCACTAGCTGTGCTCATTGCTCCTGTGTACTGTTTGACTTTTAGCTTGCTGTAAAAGCCCTTTAATGAATGTCATTTCTGAGAGAAACTGAAAGCCTTCCCTCTGCGAACAGGAACCAGACAAGGATGCCCTGTATTATCACCACTCCAATTCAATATTGTGTTGGAAGTCTTAGCAAGAGCTATACAGCAAGACAAGGAAATTAAAGGCATCCAAATTGGTGAACAGGAAGAAAAACTATTTGCAGATGATATGATCTTATACATAGAAAACCCCAAAGTCTTGGCAAAAAAACTACTGGGACTCATCGGAAGATTAAGCAAACTGGCAGGGTACAAGATCAACTAACAAAAATCAGTTGGATGCCTCTATACTAATAGTGACAGCGTAGAAAAGGACATTAGGAAAGCAATACCATTTACGATGCCACCCAAAGGATGAAATATTGAGGAATAAATGTAACCAGAGAAACAAAGGACCTATACAATGAAAACTACAAAACACTATGACAAGAAACCAAAAGAGACTTACAGAAATGGAAGAATGTACCATGCTCCTGGATACAAAGACTTAACATTGTGAAAATGTCAGTACTCCCCAAAGCAATCTACACGTATAACATAATCCCAATCCAGAATCCAATGACATTCTTTAGAGAGATGGGAAAAAACAATTAGAAACTTTATATGGAAAGTAAGGAGACCCAGGATAAGCAAAGTACTGCTTAAGAAGAAGAATGAAGTTGGAAGCCTCTCACTCTCTGATTTCAAAATTTACTACATGGCTATAGTGGTCAAAACAGCTTGGTACTGGTACAATGAAAGATACATAGTTCATTGGAACAGAATTAAGAACCCAGAAATTAGCCAATTCACATACAGCCTTTGACAAAGGCTCAGAGTACACTGAGTGGGGAAGGTATAGTCTCTTCACAGGTGGTGCTGGCAGAACTGGAAATCAATATGCAAAAGATTGAAACAAGACCTTTACCTCATGCCGTATACAAAAGTCAACTCAGCATGGATTAAACACCTAAATGTGAATCCCAGAGCTATAAACGTCATCAGTGAAACAATAGGGACAAATTAAAGGGCTCTGATACTGGGCACACTACTAAACATTGTGAAAACTACACAAACAAAAGAAGACAAAATAGATGATTGGGACATACTAAAAATTAGAAACGTATGTGCATCAAAGGATTCACCAAAACAGTAAAAAGGGAGCCCACAGAATGGGAAAAAATATTTTGCAATGACATATCAAACAAGAGACTAATTTCTAAAATCTGTAGGAAACTACAACACATCTACAAGAAAAAGACAACCCAATTAAAAAATGGGCACAATATATGAACAGACACCTCACCAAGGAAGAGGTTCGGGCAGCCAATAAACAGAAGAAATGTTCACGATCAGTAGCCATTAGAGAGATACAAATCAAAACAACAGTGAGATAACATCTCAAACCAATAATCACAGCGAAGTTCAAAACTGCATAGGACACTAGATGCTGGCGAGGATATGGAGGGACTAGGACCCTCCTGCAATGCTGGTGGGAATGCGTAATGGTCCAACCACTCTGGAAAATGATGCTTCCTCAGAAAGTTGGAAATAGAAATACCTTATGATCCAGCATTTCTTCTACTTGGTATATATATCCACAAGAACTGTGAGCCGTAACTTGAGTAGATATATGCACACCGATGTTCATAGCAGCACTATTCACAACAGCAAAAAGTTGGAGACAGCCTGAGCTGCTGTCTCATAGGAAGAATGGATAAACAAACTTTGGTAAATACACACAATGGAATATTATGCTACCTTGAAGAATAAAAAGGAAGCTAGCTGCAAGCCACCACATAACATGGATGAACCTTGAGGATATTATGCTAAGTGAAATTAGTAACAAAAGGACAAATATTGCACAATACCATTATTTATAAAAGCTTAAGAAAAATACCAATACTAAAAGGGGGAAAAAAACTTCTTTGTTGGTTACTGGTGAGGGTGGGGGTATTTGGGAGAGGTGGAGGAAGGTGACAGTAGAGCACAGGGTAGGGGGCAGACACATCATAGTTCAGGTGTTGGGGAAGGCAATATACAAGAAGGGAGGGATGGATGAACACTCAAGCAGGTTTGCATGGGCTAAATGGGACTGAGGTAAATAGTGATGCATGCTCAAGCTTGGAATAACAGGGCTCTGTGATACAGGAATCAAGGTATAGTCTGAAGAGGAGAAATATAGAAATAATACTAAGATGCTTGACTGTCTTATGAATATTGGTTTCCCTT